AGATTTTAATTACAATACATTGCAATGAAAAATAAAGGACAGCTTACATTCTAATCCTGTAGTTATGTCTGTTAAATCTACGGAAGAGTGAAAGGTGTGAATTTCTATTTCTATACTTCAACACTCCTTTTAGATAGTGTTTCACAAAACGATATTGTTTTTAAGATATATAGAATACAGTCCTGCAACTCGACCTAACTCGCGCACGGACTCGGATTTTTCTCTTAGGTGTAGGTTCAGGTGAAAAAGAATATTGAAAGCAACAATCACATCCTTAAGCAATCCATTTGTTAAAAGCAAACAAATGTTATTTCTTAAGTTTGGTGAAGGTTCGAAAAGTTGAATGTGTGCAGAACTCTAAAACTCGAATATGTAGAAATTACTTTTAATGTTTGTGTTTGTCTTTGTCGTGATGCTATTGATGTATGACGTTGTATACTAATTTGATTTGGAGGAATTCCCATTGCTTCGATATTGACTCGTGAACGAATATCTTGAAGATTTTTTTGTAATTGTTGAACATTATTTTGAGCACGTCGTTTTATTGATACAACAAAATTTAAAATTCGATTTGTTGTTGAAGGTATTTGAGGTAATGCAGGTATGGAACGATTATGTAAATTATGATTAATTTTATGATGATCATTTACTGAACATGTTTCATCATAATAATAATCATCATCAAGAATTGTTGCTGAACTAGCTGGTAATTCATCATATTTTTCAAGTTCAGCACGAATTTTAGTTGCTGCTAATGAATGTTTCATTGTTGTTGATTTCTTTTTCTTCTTTTCATCGATTTGATTTAAACTATTTTTAGGCTTTTTTGGTAAATCTTTTTTTTTACTTGTTGCTCGTATATAAGCTTCTTTAAGTGCTGTTATTCGATTCCATACACGATGTTCACCACGTGTACGTTGAAGAATATTATGAATAAAATCAACATCAGTTTTATCTAAACTTAATGCTAAACCAGGAAAACGACGAGCAGGTGGTGGAGTTGGTGGTAAAGGTGGTGGAGGCGGAGGTGGAGGTGGAGGTAGAGGAGGAATATGAACTTTTTGATTTGGTAGTTTTCGTACTGGTAATCGTTGAGAAATGGATTCAACTTGTGAAACAATAGTACTAGTACCACTAACTGTAGTCGAAGCAGATGATTTTGGACGACGTCGCAAAAGAAAATCTTCGAATGTATCATGAGTAAAAAATTCCTCTTCTTCTTCATCTTCATTTGTTGCTGTACCCTAAACAATTAATTAGTTAAAAATATTAAGAAAATAAAAGAAAAATATTGAACATTATTATGTAGAAAAACGACTATCTATTTTCAAATATAATGTACTCCGCTATGATTTCAATAGCTTTTGATAAGAATATCAGAGAGACCTGCAATTTTCACTATTCGAGAGAGAAGACCCTGTCGGGGGCGGGGAGGGGCATCACATTTTATTGAAATTCGATGGATCGAAAATTAATCGGTTATGTCAGTTCTTCGAAAACGATATTCTAATGCTATTTCCGATTCGATCTAGACTTCTAATTGGACTAGTTGATAGAAAAAAATTCTTATCTCTTGATCTACAGAAAGCTGACATTACTCGTTTGTTCCGTCCGATGGTTATAAGACGTTTTGCGTGACCTCAGATTTTAGCCAATTGATCTGTGATCAACCGGTAAAGTAGTTAAACATGAGTAATTCACTATGCCTAGTCGAATGGTGATGCTTGTTTTTAAGTTCGAACAGATGTGACACTGTAGTCTCAATATTTCCAAAATTCCATAATCAGTCTACAGAATAACGACGGAATTGGCATTTCGGAAATATTGAGATAATAGAGTCAGATCACTTCAAAGCTAAAAATAAATATCCCAATTCGACTCAGCATAGTGAATTATCTCTGCCTAACTGCTTTTCCGAGTGATTACCGATCAATAGGCTGAAACTGAGAGCCTCCGGAAAAGTCTTAAAACTCTCGAACGCAACAAATGAGAAATGTTAGTCTTGGGTAGATCGTAAGAAAACAATTTTTTCTATCGATTGGTTCTGCTAAAAGTCTAAATCAAATGGAAAATCGCTTCAAAATATCCATCTAGAGTTCATCTGATTGATCAAATGCTGAGCAATCGACTGTTGATATACATCAATACCCCGGCGTTTTCTCTCTCTCAAATGGTGAAAACCACAGGTCTCTGTGATATTTCTATCAAAAGCTATTCAAAAAAAGTGAAGCACATCATATTTTGCAAAGGATAGTAATGAAAAGTTGAATTCAATAATATACCTTTTGATCTGACTCTCCATTATCTGAAGTTGAACCATTTGGTGGTGTTGTTTCTTGTTCTTGTTGTTGTTGCTGTTGTTGTTCACGATTATTATGATTTGCTCCTCGATACCATGAAAAAACTCGATCTCTTAATGCTCCATTAAATTGCATCGCACGTTCAAGTACACCACCTGCTGATCCATTATGACCATTAGTACGCATTCTATTGTTTGCTAAAATTGGTTGTTTTATTTCATTATATGTATGATCAGATATAGGTCTTGTTGATTTCATTTGTTGATGCAAGATATTTCCATCTAATTTCATTTGTACAGCACGTTGTCGTCGACGTTTACGTAATGTACGTCGCCATCGATCATCTGTAACCATTGGATGACGAACTATTATATTTGAATTTGAACGTGAATATTGTTGTCGATTTGTATTATGATTAATAGATCCTCGTGTACTACTACGTAAAGCAATTGAACCACGAAAAGCTAAAGAACCACGTAAACGACGTCGTCGTGTACCATGTAATAATCGTCGTTGACGTGCATTTAAAAATGATGGAATATTTTCTGTTGTATTTATAGACATTTTTGTACGATATAGATCACTTTTATCATCACAACTTGGAGCCATATTTACTTCAAGTTCTTTTACTGTCTAAAAAAAAAGAATTTTGAAATAAATAAAATCATTTGCTTTTATTTTTTATAGTAATAACAAATGAATTTACTTGAACACTACTAGCATTTGAACTTGTTTCAAGAACATTTGTATCTCCTTCATCTTGTTCTTTTTCAACAGGAGATGTTATAAGATTTGTAGATGAACTATGAAAATCATCTTTTTGTTCATTTCTTGGTGGTATAACAGGTGGTGGTGGTGACATTTGAATAGTAATTGGACTTTGTTTTGTTGTACGTGTTGGAATAATTGGCGGTTTATCATCATGACATTCTAAATTAATATAGATATGAGCAGATGAAGGTGATATAATTTGATTATTGAGTATTTTTGAATGTGACAATGATTTATCAACTTCAAGGGGAGTAACAGATAATGATGAAGTTCGTTGTGAAAATTTTGCTTGTGAATAATATGGTGGTGGTGGTGGTCGATTGGATTTAATATTTTCATAAATTCGACTATGTTTTATTTTATCTGTTTCATTTTGTATATGAATTTGTTGATATTCAACATGATTTGTTGTTAGATCAGACGAAATTGATGGTGCCATTGATGTTGTATTCATTAATGTAGCATAAGTTACTTCATTAGATATATTTACAGGTTTTGGTGGTAGTGATGGTGATGGTGATATAGGTATATTAACATAAACACTTTGAAGAAGACCAGCAACTGGTGCTCGACCTTTCTTCTTCTGTTGTGTAGCAAATGATATTGTCGGTTGATTTATACTATTTGGATTTCGAATAGAAGTTAATGTACGAGCATTAGCATATATTCGGGCCATTGTTACTGATGATGTTAGTAGCGGTAGTTGTGGTGGTGATGGTAATGGTGGTGAAGGTAATGGTGGTGAAGGTAATGGTGGAGAAGGACAATAAAAGAATTCAACAGTACGGTGTCTGTTATCATACGGATCAGGAGTATTTGTATGTGATGGTAAATCAATATCTGATGGTAATGGTGGAAATTCTTCATCATCCTCATCATCCTCATCACCAGATTCTTCAATAGAGTTTTTGAATTCCATGTTTTTTTTCGTTTGTTGATGTTGAATTCAATGTTTCAGTGAACATTCATTATACACCCACCTATGTCTTGTGTATGTGTGTGTACATATGACCGAGTCAAAGTCAGTAATCGTTTCCTTCCTTCTTGTCTTTAGTTTTTTTTGTTGTTCGTTCATCGTCATTAGAAACGAAAAAAAACAATTATGTTCTATCGTCGACAAAGTCAAACGTAAACAAATATTCTTATGTCATGGATTTGATACACAGAAATGCAAGAGAGAAAGAAGACAGTGATCAAATATATACATATATTTAGCATATTTCTTGTTTTAAGAGACACAGACATTTAGTAGTAGTGTGATCGAACGATTGTGAAGAGACTCAATTGTTAAAATATTACTAATCCATTGAAATATAAAGTTTCATTTCCGTGATTCTCGTATGATAATTTTAGTTTTTTGTAAATAGTTTTTGAATATTATAGAATGCAATCTAAGCTTGATAATCCTTAGTGAATAGTTTGTGTAACATGCAGAAAATGATTGAGTAAAAACAGAAAAAGACAATGTACTTGTCAATTATTAAAGAAACAAATAAATGAAGTTTTTCTTAGACAAAATGATGAGCACGCATAGAAATAATTATATAGAAAAGCTAAACATGCAAACAATTAACTGTAAATTGAACTTGTTTTAGCTTAAACAAACAAAGAAAATATAAAATTATAAGAATGATAAATCAAAAAGAATTTTTTATGAAGAAAATCTTTCATATTTAAACAAAATCAAGATTTAAATGAGTTGAAATTTTCTTAAAATCTTATTTCATTTTAAATAAACTTTTAATTGACTTATTTTTTTTCTTTATATTTTATCATTTCTATGGACTATGGACGTCAACTATGATAATAAGAAAATATTTTGTTTATCAAACTTGATGCAAAAGATGACGCATTATTAAGTTGGTTTTTTTACCATGCTTATCTTTTATAAAAAGCATAGTAGAAGGTTAGAATTTTTTTCATGTAATCATGATAGTCTCGAGCATTTTGATATACATTATTTTAAGTATCTATATAACTAAAGCCGATGATTGTGAATATTCAACATCCGATGGTATATTAGATTTGAGAACATTCGGTTATAAAAATCAACCAAAATACGCTAATATACCTGATACAGCTTTAAAAACTCTAACATATTCTTTCAATGGTTGTTTTGCTTATTCAACAAAAGATACTTGTCAAAATGCAGCTGCATGTGTTAGTAAGGTTTTTCTTCTTATATCAGTTATAAAGATGTTTTTTTTTTCGTGTTGTTTTATTAATTTAATTAAGCCGATATAACATCAAATCAGGAGAAACTAATTGCTCGCCAAACAGATCGTGTCTTTACATACAATGGTGGTGTAATAAGTATAATTTATACAGATGGAGAGGATACAACAGTACGTGTTTTTCTTGTGTGTAAAACCACGGAATCAGTGCAAGCTACTCAAGTTGAACACAATTCATATCTATTCCATATTGAAAGTGAATGCGCTTGTCCGGGCAAATGTACTTATATTCCAGATAAACCACGAGGTCGTTTAACAGGTGGAGCTGTTTTTATAATAATTTTACTTTCTATCATTACAACTTATCTTATCATCAGTGTCCTTTTTCTTCGATTCATAAAACATGAACAAGGTATTAATCTTATACCACATCGAACATTATGGTTACAAATAGGACATGATTCAATACATGGTATAAGAGTTACTTTATCAAAAGTTACAAGAAGAAATACATATGTACCAGTTTAAAAAAAAAATTTATTAAAAAAAAATTTATTTATCGTGATATGTTTTTTTTTTCTTTTGTGTTGCTTGTATTCTACATTAACCACATTTATTGTTATCCTCAAGAAATAATACGAATGCTTTTTCTTTTTAGTATTATCAATCTTTGTTAAAATGTTTGTTCCTATGTTTTATTTATCTATTTGTTATTTATATATGATTAATATTCAAACAATCACTTGTGAATCTTCATGTGTTTATGATGTTGGAAATGGACAAAAATTAGATATTCGTACTTTAGGTTATGCAAATGGAAAACAACCAAAGTATAATAATATACCCAATACAAGTCCTGTAAAATCTTCATTAAGTTGGAACGGATGTTTTTCTTATTCAAAATCTGATGGTGGTGATTGTATAAATGCTGCATCATGTTCTAGTAAACTGAATTAATTTGTTTTTATTTCATTCTAATATATTTTATGTTATAATATATAGCTAATCTAAAAGCGGGTGTGTCAACTATCATTGCTAAACAAAGTGATGTTGAATTCGAACATCATGACAACGTCAATTTACTTATTTATCATTCATCTGATAGACTTCTTACTGTTTATTTAACATGTATTGATGCTGATGAAGATACAGTAAATGGTCGTCAAGATGATGGACGCACATTTAATATTTACATTCAATCTCGATGTTGTTGTCCTGGTAAATGTCATTATTCACCTAACTCTGGATCTATAAGTGGTGGTGCTATTTTTATTATTCTATTAGTTTCTATTCTATTTGTTTATCTTATTGGTGGAATGATTTTTTTAAAATTTGGACGTGGTGCTGCTGGCACAGATATGATACCAAATCGTTTACTATGGATAAATATAATAATATATGCTCTTGATGGACTACGGTATTCTATGCAAGTTGTTCGACAAAAAAATTTCAATGCTGATTATCAAAAAATATAAAGAAGAAACAAAGAAAGGAAAATGATTCGTATTTTTTTATAGAACTTATCGCTTGTAATTGTTATATAAGAATGAGAAGAAAAAAGAGAAGAACAGGGAAGAAGAAGAAGAAGAAGAAAATCTGAGTGATCTCTTCAAATAACCGAATATGATTAGCATGAAAGAAAAAGAAAAAAGATTTTCATGAGTGATAGATGCATACAAGGCAAGTGTTAACAGCAGACATCAACAAACGAATAATTGGAGAAGAAGTCAAAGATAGACAGAAAGAATGCAAACGATGGTATTTCCGTTTGGGCGTATACTACTATTAGTCTCATTTCCATAATCGAACCAATTTTTGTTAGAATAACTTCTAAATGAGATAGTTGTTGGTACTAGTACTAATCTCAACACAAGGTAAGATAAGGGATTTTCTAAATGTTAAACTCTTATACATATGTCTGAAAGTGCATCAACATCTGCTTGCATCAATGACAAAACAAGCTGTGTTGTAGGCTTTGCATTTTCCTTTATTATTTCTGTTGAACGAGTCCAAATGTGTTCATGTGCGTCTCGCGCTTGTGAACAATATATATAAAGAATGCCAATAGGGAGTGTGCTAAATATGATTGAATATAAACAATATGAAGGGCGAACATGTCAATTGACATGTATGAGACAGCTGACGTTTTTCTCTCTAAATCCATATGTAGGAAATATCTTTTATATAACAAATTACGTGTCATTTTATTTCTGCTTGACCGATGCTTATGTTATGTTGGACATAATTTCCTGAACAAAAAACAGTTGTTGACAATCATATTGTCTCATAATAAAAATGAAAACATAAAAGAGATAAGAAGTCTTTTCATCTTAGAGTTGAAAAGATAAAAGAAAGCTACTAATATTCATGTAATAATCTTCCTTAAAATATTATCTTCGTCTTTTTTTATTATAGTAAGTTCCTTTCGTATGCTTGTTTTTTTCCTTAATGCATGCATACATCGCATTTGATATATTTTTAGATATGGTTAAGAGAGAAATAATGTCGATTAACTAATGTTTTATGCTGGGTTATCAAGCATGTTTAATCTCACTTGGCCACAATATATCAATGAAAAAGCTTTCAAGACATCGAATAATCATATATCGTCAGATACAATGTTATCCGAAAACCTTTGGATAATGAATCGATTTACTATTGTTCAGCGATCATTTTTTATACTTTCACTTGTAAGTTGTTTTTTTTCTATATTTTTTCTTCTTCTTCTGATTAATCAATCAACAAGAAAAAGCAAATGCAAAAAATAAAATATTAAGAAGTGTCAGAAAGCCGAAATAAATAATTACCTTGGGATATGAAAATATTGAACGAATTTTTTATTCAATGACAAACCTTGACCGTCTATGCTTATTAACGATATATAGTCAATTGTTTTCATAATTCACTAAAGAAAAAAGACATCAATCATCTAAAATTAAATAAACATCTCTATTTTAAGATAAGATATATACCAGATAAATGTCTTTGAAACTGACAAATCTTAAGATGGTTTTCAATTTTTTTTGTCTAAATTATCTAAAAGAGGATTTATTCACAAAGATAATAAGACTGAATAAATTCTTTTTAGCAATCAGATGTAATTATATTCATATGCAAGAAAGAACATACAGTATCTATTTTTGTTTTCAATTTCTTTTTCTGTCTTTCACTCTAACATCCTTAATAATTTACATGTTTAGGTCGGTTTTTTTCTTCTTTTTTCTTTGAAAATGCTTTTGAAGCAAATACAATATAGAATTCTTGAGTTCTTTGTTGTTGTTGTTGTTGTTTTCGTTCGAAAATCATAACTAATTGATCATTCATTCGTATCTAATTTTCAATATGTAAATATATTTAATCGAATTTTATTGTTTTTTTTTTCTTGTATAGATTGCTCTTTTTTGGATAATATTTATTATAATCTATATGGTAAGTCGTATAATTATACGATTTGTAACAAATTTAAAACGTTTTCGTTTTCAATATGATTCTTCATCAATATCAAATGAAAAAATGTGTCGAGCATTTGTTATATCATCAAATCAATATGGATCATTTCGTCCAACACCTTTATCACCACCACCATTACTCTACCGTTCTGATAGTCTTTTTTCACATTGTGATTTTATGTTAAATAATGAACAAACAACATCTCAAAAGACTCTTCATATTAATTCACAATCAAATACAACTAATCCTAGTTTATTAGAATATTATTTAAAAACTTATAATCCATTACAAATTGATTTAAAAAGTAATAATAAAGACATTGTTACAACATCAATTATTAAAGATGAATCTTATGAAGAAGCACCAAGTGATACCGACACACGTCCAATAGCAAATTGTTATGCACTTAATTGTACAAACAAACGAAAACTATATGATGGTAGACAATATACTCGTCTTAAAGAACAAGAAAATTGCTCGGCAACTATGAGTGTTGTTGATGATCGACTTTCTGAATGTAGTACAAAATTAACTAGTATCACATTGCCTATAGTTATGATTACAGATTGTTCTGATAGTCAACGATTACATACAGATATCATTGAACTTAATGAAGATGAGAAGGACAAATAATGAATGTTGTATTTTGATGTAATCGAGTTCATTGTATATATATGTATATATTTATATTGATATAAATATAATTTTTTTTTTCCATTGATTGATCACGTTGAAATGAAGGCAGAAATGTCAAATGAAATCATAAATTATTTGATGCACTTTTGATAAAAAAAGAATCGTTTTCTTGCATGATCACCAATGGATTATCATGTCGAATAAGGACAGATGAAACAGACAGTCTTCTTTTTTCTGTCATTCTTTGTAAGCATCTTCTCTGGCATATAAGCAATCACGTTCATCTATTTCCGGAGATGACAGGTTAACATAATCTTGTGTCGGTTTGCTATTTGATGATAGTTCATAGATATCATGATATTATTGTTATTCAAAGTAGTGCTTCTTTTCTATTCTCAACTATATTACTTTTATTCATCATCTTTTTGATTTTTTTTCTCTTCCCTGCTGTGTTCATCTCAGTGACGAACGCGTTAAAGTGATCGATTTCTTTTCGCTCTTTCTCTCTCTCTTTCTTAATTTTGAGTTGCACTTTTTTTTTTTTACACATTAATGTTTGGTAGGATTATAGATCTGATGACTGTCTAACATAAGTGCGAAAGAGTATGTCTTCCTTTTGATTTTCTTTTCATCTGCCCAATATATAATTTAACGAGACAAATAGACGATTATGTGAATAACCTGACAAGACAACTGATCAGCATAAGCACAACCAATCTCTTCTTCTACTATTGGCAATTGTCTTTTTCTTTTTTTTTTTGCCACTCTTCATGTTGTTCTATAATTGAACACATCAACCTTCTGTCCGTCATTTATATATATTCACTTTCGTATTCAAAAAAAAGAAGAAAAAGGAAGAAGAAAAACTTCCGCATAAATATATGCTTTCAAACGACACAATGATATGAATGCTCTTGCTTGCTGCACACACACACATCTATTCATTCATTCATTCATTCATTTATTCATTATCAACGAAAATAGCAAATGTGCGTTACAGTGGTTCATTTCATTCATTGATTCATTCACTTCTCTTTAGTTTTTGTCTCATTCAGTCGGTTTTCTTAAAGACTGCTATCATCGTTTATGTTCAATGACCTTATTTGATTAACAATAACAACAACAACTATTAAAAATGACTCATATTGAAGAAAAACTCTATTTACAAAGTGTTTTTGATGCTATTGATGAAGTATATAAATTTAAAAATCATCAACAAACATTAACATATGAAGAACGTTTACGTGCTTCATTCAATAAATTACTCATACCTGATTGGTACAACCATGACTATACATCTACTAATGAATTACGAAAAACAAAATCACATGGACAAGTATTGCATACAAAACAATATGATAATAAAATTTCTGATCTATCAATATCATCTTCCAATAATTCATCTCAATTATCTAATGGTACAACACATCGACATCGATCACCAAGTCAATCCCTGTCAGAATGGCTACCATTGAGACATAATTCAACCACATCAACCAATGTTACAAATGGAAATGTTATTATTAATGGTGGACGTTTGACTAATTTCCATGAAACATCAACATATGCGCCAGGATTACAGCGCGTTACTCAATCATCATCATGGTATAAACCAAAAATATTTACTACACATAATAATATTAATGATCATTCCATTGAACCACCAAAACCTTTACCAAGATATTCTAAAATAAGTAAGTGAAATATGATTAGAGTCTTAGTATGAATGTCAAACAACAAGATATAAATCTTAAATGTAAATCATTTTTTTAAGGTGTAAGCTTTCTATTTTGACAGTATTACGTGTTCGAATTATATAATGATCATTTAGATTAGATATATATTACATTGATCTGATATTTACACTAGTGTGTTTTGTTTTTGGCTTGACAAATTTTCTCATATGAATGTATAATAGAATTATTTTATTTTATTTTATTTTTAACTGAACTTGGATTTAAGATTAGATTTAGATTTATTTTAAGTATGTTGTTGACTTGGTGGATTTTATATTATTCTTATATGTATTTGTTTATAAAGATATGAATTTATAGTATTCAATTTAAATATTTTAATGAAATATTAATCCTCTTAAATTATAGAGAAATGAATGAAATAAAGTTTGTTAAAGAATAATAAATAATACGTGCCAACAAGTAATTGAATTGAATACTAATAGCTGAAAATATTATTTAATAATTAATTGAAAGTAAAATTTTGATTTTCTTATCATTTAAAATGAAGATTGATTTAATTTATTCTAAAATCGATCAAATTGATGTTAAATGCTTTATATCAAATCTAAAGATTTTATCTTTCTTGTTAGATATGAAAATAAATGTTTTTGAATTTTGTTCATTTGATCAGTCATTATGATGAACTTATATTTACTCATAATTGTATTTGATTCAAATAATGAAATTGATTTCGCCAGACACATCACGTTTCGATCTTATCCGTTAGTTCATAAGATAAAAAGACAAACGTGCTAGACAGCTTCTTTTCTTTTCTTCTTGCTTGTCGTTTTTTCCGTTTATATGTCATATCTCATACATATATCGCCCAGTAATGTTAATAGAACATATGTACTCACTCGCTAATATCTTTTCCTTTTTTTTTGTGTCTAATATATTCTCAATTTGTTATACTCTTCTTCCTATGCCTATTTGAATCGTAGATGATAATTTAATGAGTTTTTTTCTTGACATATGCGTTTGTTGATGAAGGATATTTTGTTAAAAGAAATACGTGTTTTGTATATAACCAGTCAAGGCAAATGTATTAGTATTGAGTATACTGTTAAATGGCATGGCCAATATTAAATGATTGATTGACGAAAAATAAATATGTAATGGTTAGAATCAAAATATTGCCGAGTCTATTTTTTTTTATACAGAAAGAACACAAGAAAAAAAAGGCAACTGTTGAAAAGTAACCTAATGTTAATCTGATCGTCATCAAAAAGAATATATATATATTAGTCGTTATTCGAAAGAAAGTAAAAGTGTTTGTTAGATCCAATGCCGACTCTATTGTATTCGAATGTTATTCTAGTCACTACCTATTACTTCTAGGCTTCTCGCGTCATCGTATTTTCTCGCTTACAGGCAAGAGAACGATAGTCTAAATACAATACACATACGACAAGTTTGATGTATATGTATATATTTTAAAAAAAATGAAAAAGAAGTGTGTATGCTCATAAATAACAGAACGGAATAGAATAGGTAGTAAAAAAGAGAGAAATGTCAATGCAGGTTTATATGGTCTAACATCAACATATACTGAAGAGAAAAACAAGAGCACAGGACGAGTCAAAGATTTTCTCTTTTCTTTTTTTGCTTCTACTCAATCGACCATCTACTACTCTTCGTTATTGTTAAAGAATAGAGATGTGAAATGGGATGAACAAGTGCCAGAGAAAAGAAAAAAAAAGAAGTCTTACCATTTGTTTGACGAGTCACCTTTTATATTCTTTCTCTCTCTCTCTCTCTCTATCGTTTGAGTGCCAAGCTTGTACATACTTACATTCGTCCACCTGTCGACAGTGTCTCTCTCTCTCTTCCTCTCGTTTCTATTCTCATCATAATATATTTGTTCATTGATCATCAAGCTAAAAGTAAATACCATTGAGACTAAAGCACACGAAATAGTTTTTCTATTCATCGTTAATACATTGATATTTTTTTTTCGGTCGTACCTCACATTTTCGTGTTTTCATATGATTCTATTACCAGTCGTTATAAGAAAAATAAAAGAGAGCTCTCGATTATTTCATTTCTAAGGTTTACATATACATATATATATATATATATCTGTATTTTATTGACGACCTTCAGTTCGGGTGAAATGTATACATCACGATCAATTGATTCATATCTTACTTTTGGTCAAACAAGATGTATGTCTATACACATGAGAATTCATTTTCAAGATTTTCTTTTTCTTTTGATTGCATATGTCTGTGCTTGTCGCTTTGAAAATAAGGGATGCTAGTAATATATTAAAATGCCGTTCTTTTTTTTTAACTTCTCGTGTCTCTTTATCTTAGATCAAGAACGCATAAATTCAACAGATTCTTCTTTTTTATCATCAACGTCAAAGATTATAATTCCAGATCTTATTTCTAATGAAAATATTCGACATCCCATAAAACCACGAACAATGTCTCAAGTACCAATACTAATTGAAGAAATCGACGATGATTCTTGTCTTCAGAATGTTTCACTCGATATATCATCTGATGGTGACATAACAATTGTTCAAAAACGTAAGATTTTAGAAATTTATGATATGAATTATTCGTTGAGTTATAAAAAAAGAAAAGAGTAATACCTACTCTTGATATTTGTTAATCAATTACGTTTTACGACAAAATATATATTTGCAAATTTTTTCTTCTTCTCATGTCAACCTATTTTATCACTGCACACGAAGAAGTATACTCAAAAGGTTACGGAACGAAAATAAATAGACAACAAAAAAAAAACCTAAAATAAAATAAAAGCCTATGTATCTAATAAGACAAATATAATAATATTGTCTTTCTATTTGTAGCTATATCGTCATGGACTAATGACGTTATATCACTAACGCACACTCATATTTTATCTAATAATCCTCATATTATTGTCAATACAAATAATAACATGAATGAATTCATGACGACAAATATATCTCGAGCGGATTCAACAAAAAGTGTTTCATCTGATGGTGAATCTTATCATTCAGTGGTTTTACCATCATCCGATAGAAATCTTTTAGTCACAGATTCATCTTCTTATGCCAGTGTAAATGATCAATGCTTATCAGCAACAACAATAACAACATCATCATATCATACAGCCATAGCTGATGACAATTCATCATCATCAGCAACTGGTTATGAAACACCAACACCTAAATTAGATAATGATATATTATCTTCACATAGTTCAATGTCGGATTTAAGTCATGCTGAAACATTGGAACCTAGTATTGATGGTGAGTCATTTTTAATATTAATTGAATGATTATATATATATGCCTTCATTCATAAACATAATACTTAAAAAAATAAGCACTTGTCTTGATATAAAGAATCAAAAGAAAAAAAAACAGACTGTTACGTTTTCAATAAAAGAAAAATTTCTTTAGAATATTCACGAAAAGAAGACGAAGTATTGTTTACTTTTTTTTTGGTAGAGGAGTTACTACTTCGAATAAAACTAAGAGCAAATTTTGATTAATTTCTATGTGAATGATTTAAAATAAACTTTCAATCTTATTTTGTTGTTTATTTATCTATGGAATAAGATCGTGACTTATAGCGTAAAAGAAAGAGAGAAGAATAAGAAGCATACTGTGACGATTGAATTGAAAATAATATTTCTTCTTTATATATATATATAAGCAAAGCATTCAATGGATGAAGAACGTAAGTCAAATAGTAAGTTATAAGAGAAAGAGAGTAAGAGAGAAAAAAGAAAAAACTGTGTTCGACAGTAAAGCTTTCAATAGTTATAATAATAAAGACTGAAAAAAATATTTTTGTCATTCTTTTTTTCTTCGTCCATATACAAATAAAACGGTGACATTCATTTCTTTTTGTCTTTGTATGTTGCAAATATTATAGACATATTTGTAGTAGAAGTAGTAACAAATTCTTATTTTTTAGATGTATGATTGATGTCGTAGAGTGTTAAGGTATAAATTTTAAACTTTTTTGGATTTTTTTTTCATTTACTGTTGATAATCGAAAGATAAAGTACATCTCAATGATTTTCATCATGGAATACATGAGATATGTAATGATCACTAATATTACTACTAAATGTAACCCATTTTCCGGTGATTAAATGTCTATATATGTATATAGACAAAAATATATACATGAACATGTCATTTCTTATCTTCATTACCTGATGTAAGGGAAATACGTTTACTGTAATAGGGCAAATGTTCAGAGTCACCAAGATACAGAAGCAAAAAAAGAGAGAAGAAAGAACGGCAGATTCTGCCGCATGCGCGCACATAAATGCGCACGACTTTTTTTCTTATCTTCACTCATTTCTTCTTCCTTTTTTCTATACTAACAGACCTCGACATCGTCGCCATTTCAAAAGAAGAACAAAAACCCACCATCATCCCTCCCGTTGACGTTGGCATGGAGAATTTACCATCGTCACATATTTCTACTAATATATCCAATCCATCGCCATCATTATTTAATGATAATTCACCATCAAACGAATCTCGTCCTGTTGAAAATCTAAATTGGTATGATGATGGTTCAATTGAAACATGTATTCATCAAACATCATTGCAATCTCCATCAATTGAATTACGTGAAATAGAAAATGATGAAATTTTACTTGAAGTTGATCTTAATGGCGTTGGTGATGAGTTCTTTTTATTTTCACCACGTAATACAACAGATGATGAACCGTCAAGTTCAATAAGCGATGATAAGCATGAACAAGAATTCGAACAAATGATACATACAAAACAAATGTCAAAACGTATATATACAAAAGAAAATAAAACAGATGATGATGATGATTCGGCATTATTCGATGATTTTTATTGTGCATCAACAGTTGAAGCATTTGGTTTTAAAACTAATAATAATAATAATAATAATAATAATAATTCATCAATGATGATAACAAATTTAGATGATATATTAACTGATGATTATGATATTGATGATGATGATGAACAAAATCATTTAAAAGATACATCAACTTATTTATTAAATACAAATTTTCGTCGTCCTATTCAAGAAGATATTTTATATGAAGTTGAACATGAAAATAGTTTTTCAGATAATAGTCAACATACATCATCAATGATTATAGCTGATGATAACGTATGTAGTATTTTCTTTTTTTGCTTTTCTTATCTTTGTCTTGAAAATATTAAGGCGTTACTGCATACATCGACCAGATGTTTTTTTTTCTATTGATGCTTCTTTATACCATCGTTTGATGTTGTTTTTAGAACTCGATGAAAATTGATCCAAATTTGGATTTTTTAACATCAGCTGAAGAACCAATCAAAACTGATATTAGCCAATCAACAATGATTCAAACAACTTTACAATCTCATGAAAATAATTCTTTACCAAAACAAACAACAACAATTGAATATATTACATCACCAAGTTATATTTTACCACCAATTTATACAACAACAGAAAAATCTTCATCACTTCATATTGATACATCTAATGATACAAATTCTTACAAATGGGAATCATCAAATTATCAATATCCAAATTTATCCCTGTCATCAAGTCCATCATCATATACATCAAAAATTCGTCATCGTCATTATTCCGTTGGTTCTTACTATGATAATAAAACAACAACAGTTACTTTACATCCTAATCATACACTTTATTTACTTGGTAGCGCACCTGTTAGTCCATTAAATCGAACATCAACAACAACTTGTGAATCACATTATCATTTACATCATCATAGTCCACTATCATATGGAACTATACCATTAAATACATTCCGACGTGTAACTCCCTATATTGAAACTAATACAACATTAACATCAAATTCTGAGTATCAACAATCATCATCTTTAAATAAAACTGATCATAATCGAACAATAATTCAACCAATGGAACAAACGACGATACCGGTAAGAAATTCTTTCAAAACTAATGTTTATACTTAATTATTTCAATATAGACTACTCAAACTGTATCAACATCAATTATACCTCAATTGATTTCTCCATCATCATCAACACATACAAGTTCAGTAACATTTTCACAATATGAAGTACCAACTACTGTTCCAGAAACTATTTTAACATCACCTTCTCCTCCCCCTCCTCCTCAATTTGAAGTCCCACTTGTACGTCCGAAAACAAGTCGCGGACGAGTACCTATCCTTCCACCACCACCGCCGCCTCGTACAACATTCATAGAAAAAGATCAAACACAAACTATGAGTTTAGACAATGATAGTACATCAACAGATAATGATAAAACAACAACAATAAATGATGATTTAAAATTTATTCGTGGCACAATTGAACGCGTTTTTGAGCATCATGGCGAATCAACAACAAGCGAATCAAGTACATGTTATGAAGAAATATCCGATGATAATAATAATAATGATAATGAAAATGATGAATCAATATCATTATCAAATAGTTCAAAAACATTATCAAAAAAAGATAATCAATATCCATCTATTGAAGCTATACAACGTTTTTATCATAATAAAACACCATCGGATTCTGAGAAAAAAACTTCTAATAAACAAGTAACAAATCTTGATGATACACCAATTAGTAATCATTCATCAACATCAGATAAATTATATTCACGTTCAAATCCTATGAATAGAAGAAAACCGAATCTTTCAAATTCATCTGATAATGAACAAGCTACTTCAGAAGAAATTGATGATACATTAAATGATATTGAGGATGATGATTATCAAGATGAGAAGCTAAGACGTCAAACAAAAAACAGTAGTTCACATACAAGTGGTGAAAATTCACCATTACATTCATTTAATAATCAAACAAAACAAAAGAAAACATTACAAGAAACACAAACATTTCAACGAGTATGTCAATTTTAAAAGATTTAATATAGAAAATAGTTTAATTAATAATGTCGATGAAATATTAAAAAATGTCATCGTTATTTTTATCATCAAAATAGAAACACTATTTCTTTAGAATAAATAATTGTTTAATCTTCTAATAGCCCGTGAGGAAATAAGTACATTGTTAGTATTTTCCAAATGTTCCCTTTAGTCTTCCCTTGATTGGGATATCTTTGTTTTATCAAAGTCTGGTGTTTGAAATTCTCCACAAAATGGTATTCTTTGCTTAATAAGTATAGTCTTTTATATATGTTTAAATCAAACGTAATTCTACCAGGGTTCTCGATTAGAAGGAAGAAGAGAGAAGTTCCTCTTCTCCAATTATCTAACTTTGTGTCAAGTTTTTACAGTTGCATGGCAGCTTTAGACGGAAACATCATTTGCATTTCTTTGGCATGAAGTTAAATAAAGATAAACAGAAAATGTCGGTGCGAGATGAATATTATTGGGACAGATCCCGGGAGAAGGAATGGTCTATTGACAAGTCATCTGTTTGTAGAAAGAACTGGGTCACGATGAATTTTGTTCTTCTCCTTGGGTCTCACTTCTTGCATTCGGAGGACGAAAGTACTTTCACTTTTGAGTTGAGACTATATGCATCATGTGGATCGTAATGACATATGAATACTCTAAAAAGCATTTTGATCCTTAGCTTATTGTTGTCGAGACGCTGCATTTTCTTTTCTATAATGGTATAGTCTCATTCAGGGAATACTAGGGAAAATGTTTTTCGAATTTTTGTGTTACTGTCCTAAAATACAACTATGGTAAAAGCGTGTTTTTTATTCCGCTCATATATTCTATAGATTTGACGTTCTTATTTCGAAATAGAAACGATGAAAAGATCTGAAACTGTCGTTATAATCCATTTTCATCAAGGTCTATTTCTGTGTAAAGTTTCGAATCCAAATTCGAAAATTATTTTTCTTTAAATTTCTGAGGGAGAATGCACCATGACATCACATAAAAAGTGTCATAAAAATGTAGCGACTCGACAGCAATAAACAAAGGGTCTGAATTCTTTTCAGGATATTAATTCAAAAGCAATTAACTAGCTGAGAAATTTCTCTCATAAGATAACTTCTGTAAACCTCAACCACATTATACTAATATTCAGTTTAGAAAATTAACTCTCTTTTTTTTGTGTATATCAGTCACTATTGAATCTTTGACCTTGTTTTATGAAAAATAGCCTATCTAGAATGATCATTCCAGCGATCGGAAATAGTGTATTACTGCATTAATTTTCATCATAATCCTTCATACCGTTTTATAAGCCGTTACTATTCGCTAGAAAGCGGCCAGCTTTTTCCACACGTTTGTTCTCGTTTTCTGGGACCTTGGAAAGCATTCACGCGATAACAACAGTCTACACCTTGTTTCAAAAGGTGACTTTCTTATTGACACTCGTTTCTTATAAAGCAGGCACTATTTTAACTCTTACATAATCAGGTTTTTTTACAAATTATTTATGACCGAGATTTTCATAAAGTAAATTTACAAATATATATATATATATATATACATATATGTTGTTTATTTTTCTAGCAAGAACAAACTATTCAAACAACTAAAAGTGCATCAGGTTCTCAAACGACGATTCAATCATATGAAACAGCTCGTTCAAGTATTCCACCAATTGATATAGTTACACAAATGGTTATTGAACGAAATGATAGTATTGATGATGGACATATAGGTGAAATATCAGGTGATATGATTATATATTATGATGATATTGAAATAGTTGAACATTCATCAAATATAAGCACAACGGAATCTGATTCAATATCATCAATAAGTAAATCTAATCATAATTCTAAACCAATTGAATCAATTCCACCACCAATACCAGCACGTACATTAAAACCAAGTCATTTACTTGATAATCAACAACAATTATCATCGACAACAAAAACTGAACCAATTAATTTATCAACATCAAAAATAAATCGAACATACGAATTAGAAAAATCTACAATACGTAAAAAATTTGATGTTAATACAGTTAATACAATGCTTAATAGTACGGATTATTTTATTGGTCCAGCTATAACACATCGTCTTCCATCAGCAAGACATTTTGCTGGTAAAATAAATAATGACGATGCAACATCACGTACTTCAACAATATCGAATACAAATATTATTCATAAACCATCATCAACAACAACAATGGCTAAATCTCAAACATTACCATTACAATCAATTAATACAAATGGACATTTAACAAATAATATTCAAAATACATCAATAAAAAATTCTTTTTCAACACTACCTATACGTGCTGTATCATCAGTTGATACAAATGAAAAACCTCGTTCAATTATAGCAGATACAAATGCATTAGTTAAACAAATACAAAATTCTTTAAGTCGAAATTCTTTACATGATACACAAATTCATTCACCATTATCAATATCAACAAAAGATTTACGTACATTTGTATCATCATCATATTCACCATCAGATGAAAATATGATGGATGATGATGGAGTTATTCATGTACGACAACAAAATTTAAATACTAATGATGATCAATCATTTAAAAGACAAGCTAGATTATCAAGAAGTTTTCATAATGTATCAGAATATAATAGTACTGATCAGTATCCAAAAAATGATAATAATTTTACGACACGTACACAACCATCGAAATCTGTTGAAAATAATCTTAATAAAGTTAGTCAAAATCAAGCAAGAAATTCACAAATTCTATCGAATTTTCCACCGGTTGTTTCAAGTACATCATTTTCAGCATTACCACATTCAGAAGATAATGCAAGAATGTTGGTAAGAAAATATTAAATAAATATTTTTTTTTTAATTTTATAATCAAAAAGATTAATAACATCGATTTTTTTTAGATTAGCTAACGAGGGAAGGTTCTCAAATCATAAATTGCTGTTAAGCTGCTGCTATATTTAATCGATAAGGTCTAATGAGTAAATAAATACTTGAGAGTAATTCGAGTTGCTGAGCTTTTGTTACATAGATATCGGGTTTTTTTTCAGGGCCTCAGTTTTCAAGCGAAATCATACTTTTGAATTTGGATCTGAAACGTTGCCTATATAAAGGCACCGATTAGACAAGTTTGTAGAAAACAAAGTGTCAGGTTAAAATTCAAAAGTATGATTTCGCTTGAAAACTGAACCCTGCAGGAAAAATCTACTAAAAATTCTAAAAATTAACAACAAAGATCTAGTAATTCGAACCATTCTTGGGTATTTATGTATTCACTAGACTCTATAGATTGAATATAGTCCCAGTTCGAATACAATTTATCTTTAGACCTATCAGACAGATAATCGGGCATCATGATTGATTGATTTCTTAACTATTAGATAATTGATTTTGTCAATCGCGAAGGCCATCTGAAGAAAGTAGCTTCAGGAATTCGAATCTATAGAAAGTTGGTCGAAATTCTCGAGTCCAATTTTCTCGTTTGAAACAAAAGCTTAATTCTCATGGTTTTCCATGTAAAAAAAAAAGTGGCCAAGAAGTAACTTTTTAGTACTTTCAAAAGCTTTTTAAACAAGAAAAGTACTTATAAGTGAACCTTTCTAAGTACTTTTCATATTTTTTGACTAAAAAGTACTATTAAGTACATTTTAAAGTGAAAAAAGTATGCGAAAGTACTTTTCAAAGTGAAAAAAAATTAGAAAAGTTACTTTATTTTACTTTATTAATATTAAAAGTACTTAAAAGTGATTTTGGTTCATTTCTTTTTGTTTTTACATGCGTTAATCATGTTTTATAAAATTCAGCTATTTTCTTGAAATAGACCTTCCTCTACCAAAAAAGTCGAAATGGATCTCATATTATCGTTCTTACTTTTATTCAATACACACGTATCTAGACTAGTATAGTGCTCTATCTAAGACTAATGATCACCATCCCTGTTGTATTCCTATAGAATAATTAATACATCATCAGAAAATTATATCTATCACTCTGTAACTAATATTATTTCTCGTTTATTTTAGTCTATGAAATGGTATACAGGACAAGTTAGTGAAAATTCGGAAATATGTTATAATACGCCTCATGCTGATAATGATGATCTTCTTTATAATTATATAATAACACATAGCAATCGAGAAATTCAATTATTACTTGCTCGTCTCCAATCAACAAATGACATTCGTATTCATGCAGCACTTGATGATATACGTTTACGTGTAGCACAATTTGATGCATCAAAATCTCCCGAAGATCTACATGTATTTATGCGTTATCTTGAATCACGTTTACGTGATATAAGTAATAAGAATCCATCATCATCATCAACAACAACAACAAGAACAACAGCATCAAATCATATGAATGAGCAAAGACGAATGTCAAATGGTACAACAACAAGTGGATATCCTATTCAACAACAGCCAGATACATTATCAGTAAAAAGTCGAACAAGTTCGATAGTAGCAGGTGCAGATAAAGAAACTCCATCACAAAGACAACTTGGTCGACAACATCTTCGATCATCCGGTAGTAAAACAACAGGAGGAGGAACAAATGGTCATCAACTACCTCCTCCACGACGAGGAAGTCAATCAAGTGCTAATCAAGGTATATATATATATACTATAATTAATCAATTAAATAAATAATTTATTTCAAATTTAGAAAATCCTGCTGTATTTGATGATATGTTAAATACGGTATTAGGTTTACCAAAGAAAGGAGTGCCTACTCAAGCCCAAACAAGTTCTTCTTCTTCTCAAAAGTAAAATTGAATTGATAATAAATATATTATTAAAATGACATGCATGTTTTTTTTTTATTTTAGCCGAGAAAAAACAACTCCTTTATCTCAAACACAGATAACTACAAATACAACAACTGTTACTAAAATTGGACAAGATGTTGGTAAACGTTTATTTGAGAGTGGTACTTATAAAGATCCTCGTTTAATTTATGATGTAAATATTATATTTAATTGACATATTCTATACTTGTAATATTTGTTTCTTTTAGGGTCCAAGAAAAAATGAGAAAGAGGAACAACCTCTTGAAACATCCGTGTGATAAAAAGTCATTTGCTTTTGACTTCAACAGCGAATGAACTTAATATCACAATGGAATAGTTTTTTAAATAGTGTGCAATTAATATGTTTCTCTTTCTCTACTGTGATATATATTTATAATTTTTGACGATTATCTTCTCTCCGAAAAATAGAATATTTAATCACAGAGAATGACTCTGTGTATGGTTTATTTTATTTTTTAACTCGGTGTCGCTGGTTTATGTATAGACGACGCGTTTTCTTCATATTTGTTTTTTTCTTGGATCTGTCATTTCGAACCAATTTAATGGACTAAATTTGAGTTATTATTATACATTGACGGCTTATTTTTTATTCGTTCTTTTTGTTTCGTGACATATTATGCAAAAAGATCATTTTGTTTACGATTGTATGTTTCATGTGTTCTAGTTTTTTTCTTACTCATTGTGTGGATGCTTTATTTGATGATCTGTTAGTTCTTATGTCTCATTTAAATTTCATTTCTGTTTCGTCTCTGTGCATACACTTTTAGTGTGCAAGTGGAGTATATACTCTTAACTCCTGTTTGTTAAATTTTTTCTTTTCTTTTTGCTATAAATCATAAACATGAAAATATTAAATTGACTTCAATATATAAATTAAATGTCACTAGCAGAACAAAAAATGCCAAACTAAGAATATAATATATAACTGACGAAAGAACATTTCCAAGTGTCAGGTCGCTATTATGTCAGAACTATGTGTATTATGTAGGTCCTAATGAGCAAAGAATATTCTAAAAACAGTTATAATTATTAGTTTATCGTAGCCGAGATATGGCAACTTTTACCAGAATGCTATGACCATTTCGGAAATATGAGGAAACTTAAGTTTGGAATTTCGACGTGAAACTTTACATGGAGACAGACCTTGACGAGAATGGTTTATTATGAAAGCTTCAAGTTTTTTGATTGCTTGTATTCCGAAATAAGAACATCGGAATCTGCCTATGTATATGAGCGATGTAAAAAAAAGTGCTTTTACCATAGTCGTACCCTGGCATGACAAAAACAAAATAACCTAAAACTTTTACAATAAACTAATCTCGTTAAGACTTGTTTCTATGGAAAGTTTTAACTTGCAATTCTAAAACTAGTTTTCCTTGTGTTCCTAAGAGAACCACAGCATACATTTAAAATGATACACATAGTCTCGACTCAAAAGCGATTTGACTCTAAGAAACTTTCTCTTATAAGAAGTGTCATGGAAAAAAGATAAAAATGATGTTCATGTACCGAAGAAATACTATTCTCGTTTCATCTTATTTACGTTGACCAGATTCAATTTAAATATGTTAATAATACATCCAAAGCTAATAGATTCTAATCATAACGAATCAAAGACAGACATTCGAATTTTTCGGTAAATAATATAAATATTTGACTATTTCTAAATCAAAGTTTGCATAATTCTAAAATAACGATAATTTCACGGTATGGGCGAAGAGAAGACCCACACCTGACATTAGGTTCCTTAGCTCAGCTTGATCTTGTTGTACAATTTGACTTTCGTATTGCCTTTATGATTTTTGCTTGTGGCACAGTTGTGACAGGTCAAGAAATATAACTAGGTCGGTAAAAACCGATCGATTCACAAAGTTTTTTTTTTCGAGTGATAAAAACTGATATTATCGGCAGTTTCGATTTAAATACCTATAGATTTTTTCGCTTGTATTTTCTGCAATATTTATATTGCAATGGGTCCAATTCTCAATCCACTTTCACATAACGAAAGTTAGCAGTGGATTCGAGTTTGTCTTTCTGACATTCATTCCTACAACTAGGCTAGCTTCCTTATTAGTTGTGCTGAATACAAAGCAGAGATGTCCACAGGACAGGGCCGCCCTGCCCTGAGGCAGGGCAGGACAAAATTTCTAAAAATGCTCTGCCCTGCTATTTTACAGGGCAGGGCAGGATGATACCTTTGCGCCCTGCTCATTGGAATCAAAAGTTTCGTTTTATACAAAGCTTTTTTGTTTATCTAACAAATGTGGCATAATAGAAGAACAAGAAAGATTTCGTTATCACCTCATAACAGACAAATCGTGATGGCACGGTAACGGTACATTACAATGAGAATAGTAGAAATTATTGGAGAAACAAAAGAATCACAACGATGGATATTGTCGATACATCAAATTTGATTCCTATCAAATCCAATTCCCAGTTTTAACTGTATTTGGATTTGTGTTTGATTGAATTTGAGTGGTCTTGACAATGAAAAATTACAATTTTTGTGGAAATATATTAAGTTTAAGCCCCGTAAAATCTAGTCAAATTCAAATCCAGAGTTAGACTTGAACTTGACTAGACTTGGATTTGGTGCATATCTAGTGGATATATATTTGTATTTGTCGGTCATTTGTTTGCGATTAACTGCCCAAAGCACAAGCAGAACTATGAGTTTGACGACTGATGATTTACTTGCTGATATTCGTTCTACTCCTATTAATGAGATTATTGTTCTTATTTCTTCTTGCTCAAGCATCTCTGCTACTATAACTAATTAATTCATTGCATACATCTCGTCAATTGCAACACCTTCTATCAACAGACAAAAAGCAATTTTTGTATTTTAAATAAATCAGAAAAATTCATGTAAAAATAGTCGAATAAAAATCAGATTCAAAATCGATTATAATGGCACTATTATAATCTGATTTTAAATAGATTTTTCAGCTTTAAAAGACTATTTCTTTTTACGTCGATTTCATTTTAATCTATTTTAATTGAATACTACAACCACTATAATAATCGACTAAAAAAGATTAAAATGAAATCAAAATTTAAAAAGAATTATATGTTAAAGCTGAAATATCTGATTAAAATCAGATTACAATAGTGCCATTATTATTGATTTTTAATCCAATTTTTAATCCAAATCTTTTACAAGGAAATTTTTGGCCTCTTGAAGGCAATTGAAGTTTTATCTCTGCCCTGCCCTGTCCTGCGGGGCAGGGCAGGGTGGAAAAAAGCGCCCTGTGGACATCTCTGATACAAACACTCAAAATTCCATTAAAATCTATTGAGCACTGATGGTACTCTTACTTGATAACAGTGGACATAGTTGTTGATTAAAACTTGGTATTGGATANAAAAATATACATTGATGAAGTTGAAAACATCGTTGCTGTACGTTCTATAGTGTAGATGTAACTTTCATAGAGAAGCATTGTTTTCCTTTTACAGAAAGGAGTTTCTCAATTTGAGACATTTTGTTTGAAGGGTATCGTTCAGTGAACGTTGAGATTGAGACATGAAATGATATTTTCAACATCATCAATGCATATTTTTGTTTATGGTGGTTGCATAATTAAGAATATTGGATCAGTATTGTCGTTGGTATAGATAATGTTGAAATTTATTAACTGAGTGACAAATCTAATTATTATTTGTTCACTTTAGCTCTATCAGAATCATATATGATTAATATTTTTTATCGATCCGTTTTCCCAATTAAAGTCATATGCTTTAGAACAGTCAATCGTCTATTGTTACCATACACATCTTTTAGAATTTTTAATTTATTTTATTTTATTTCGATTGGTTATATAAAAAAAAGAATCGACTAAGAGAGATGGGATGAACAGAGCGAAAAAATTGTTCTGCGATGAATAGAACACGACGAAATGCGCTAGTGCCTTCAAACGACGATCCAAACTTAAATTTGATCTTCAACAAAATAATTATCAGACAAATTTAACTCAAGTAAAATAGTTTTGATTGTACTTTTTAAAAAATGAAGTATACTTCAATTTAAGAAATGAAACAATGCGAACGAATAGAAGAAAATATAACATAATCTTTAAAACAATACTGATCGATTACTCTGATAAGAGCACGCAAAGTTGCTATCAATAAGTTTAATAAAAAAAAATGCCATATCTATATAATATTTTTCAACTGGTAAAAACCGGTGAAAATCGCGACCGAACAGGACCAGTCACAACTCGAATGCTTCAATTATCACTGGCAAATGAACCCGCATCATGAAGCCTTTCGATGCTCAGAAATCATTCTAACAGACTTGGTACTCTTACAAAACCAATCGCATTCGCACATCCTATCACAATAGTCATCTCACAAAACCTTCAAAGGCTAATTTTGCAGCTCACTTTTATAATCTCAGGTGAAGTAAACACGATCGTCAATGATGACTATGTACGAAGAACTGAATACACTCACTTATTCTCTTCGTACATGAAAGTTGTATACGGCATGAAGATATACGATTATAATATTAAGTCATGTAAAACAGTAAAAATGCGAAACGTATACTTTCGTTTACAAACGTTTATGAACTTTGTAAGTTCTGACGTGAGATATTGTCTATATCAATTGTTAGGTATCTTACATAATCTAAGTATAAAGCAAAGATGATACTTGATCCGCACAATGATCCATCAGTGATGGTCACAGAAGCATATCTGAAGGATGGCCTTGCTGTTTATTATCTTGTTTTTGACAATATTAACTCTTTTATTCATCCAGATGCTAGCTGTCTCATAAGTACCTAGTATTTACTACAATTGTTTTTGGTGCTGAGAAAAACATTCAAGGTACGAATTATGTAAGCCATAAGAATATCATGACTCGGCAAGGTCAATCGAAGCTCGTTGCCTTTTTTTTCATAACAAATCATTCTGAACAACTCAAATGCATACAATTAATGAGCAAAACAACTTGATAAAAAATGATTACACCAGAATATGTTATGAATTTTCTATGTTGAATCAATTTGTTAGTCGAATTCTTTCTAGATGTTTGTTTTAAAAATATTATAAATGATTTCATTAAGTATTTATTTTAATAGTATAAATCAAAAATAAGATTCGATTTCGTATGACGATATTTTTAATTTATCAAAAGAAATATAACATCAACAAAAAAAACAAAAACTGTAAGACATGAATTGATATCATAATATGTTTTCAGAAAAAAACCCGTAGACGATATTTGATCACTAAATAATTTTTTAAAAATG